CACGATCGGTCGACCGCTGAATCGATCGAACTAAAACAAACACACATGCAGGGGACTTACGAGAAGAATTCATATCGCACGTTTGTTATTAAAATCGAAAAATCATTATTGCCCAGTGGACGGATGGCGTGACGCCCGCGTGACCGTTCGCGTGACGTCTGACAATCTAGCAATCTGACAATCTGACTATCTGACAATGTGTGCAATGTCGTCTGTTCGGCTGTGGTGGCGGGGCGGACACGGCACAAAGGGGAGTCACCGACGGCGAATCAACTTGCCTCAGACAGCCGACAGACCGAACGAGCGAGAGACAGGCAAACAAAAAATAACTAACTTTTTCCACACCGTCCTTGTCTCTGCCGCCCGAGATCGAGCATACTGTCGCTTTGCAGTGAAGAAACATGAAGCTGGCCGCAAAGTACAGGCGCTGTGGTTCGACGCTGAACGTGCTCTTCTGTTCCGAACGGTCACCGTAGTGTAAGATCACTGAACTTTCGCTTGGACACCTGCATTACGGTCAGTGATGAGAGCCGGTGGCTCGCGTGATCTACCGTAAGCTATTCACTTACCCGGCAGTGATCAGCAGGTACTTGTCTTCGTTGGCGGGCGAAGACGTGCGCGTGAAATAGCACTCCTTGGGCAGTGGGCGAAAATCGGGATCAGGCGGCTGAGCGTTTCGTGCTGAAAGCAGCGGTTTACACACACACAGACACAGACACAGACACACACACACACACACACACACACACACACACACACACACAGTCAGTCAATGACACACAACGGCACGGATGTGTGGACATATATAGCTGCCGCGAACGTACCGTCGGTCATCTTGACGTCGACGTAGATGCGCCGTCCGAGCAATAGCGTGTGCGGATACTTCGCCCAAGGGACCGACTGCGGGCTGTTGCTCTCGCGGATCGAGAAGTAGAATGAAAGCGAATCCGGGCTGGTGGCGACCGTGTTCGTCTGAAACGGCAACTGGTCCGTTAGTCATGTTCAGCAGGTTACGGTGAGGTCGAATCAGGGGGCAACAAACCACTGAGTAGCCACCTCACTGACACAGGCTCATAACCTGGTCACACCTTACACCTCACTCGCTCACCTGATTGTGCAGCCGCGGTCTGACAGCGACGACGGCGGTGGCGAACAGGACCAAGACCACCGCGAACTCCACCATCGCACACCGGCGAGGTGGAGGCGACGGCCAACATGACAAACACATCAGGCCACGAACGGCAACGCAAGAACAGGGTAACGCGCACAGACGGGGACACGACAACAGCAGAGAAGGGAGGCAAGCCGAGGAAGATGCGGCGGCACCGACCGACCGACCGAAACCGAAGTCGAAAACGAACCAAAGCCAAAACCGCCGCCGCCACCGCCAACTACGCGTCGTCTGTCTGTTGTGTGCGTCGTCCGACCTCCTCCGATCGCACTTCACGGCGAGCCTCCAAAAAAGCGACCGACCGACCGACCGACCGACTGACAGAGCGAGCGAGAAAGCGAGAAAGCGAACGGCGTGTCCCCCGTCGGAGCTGCCGTCGACGTCGTCACACTCAGTCGATAAAAACTGCTGCGACTGCCGTCTGTCCGACCGATCGCCGACCTCCGATCGTCCGTTCTCCTCTTCCTCTACTTCGTCGCGGCGTTGTCACTCGGTCCTCGGTCCGAGGCTGATCAGTAGGCGGGTAGATGGCATTAAAAATGCGGCCAAAAAGCAATACTAATCCACTGTCCGTCTTTACACACACTGGTCATTGCTGCCACCCGGTTATAATCCATATTTCGACTTGTTGCGCTCCGTCGGGTGGAAAAACCAGTCATGTTGGCGGCCTCAGAGCAGACTTTTTTAACGCGAAAAAACTACCGCCATTTCTTTACGATTAATCAGTACGATGGCGGACGCCGTCGCGTCGAACTGAGTTTTTGAGTCAGCCAGCGCTTTTTATGCCCTTGAAACGGCGAACCGAC